TAGACTGGTTTATTATTTGCCAAGTGGTTTTTGATTTATTAACAGAGTTATTTATATTAAATGAATTTTGTGCTTTCTGTTAAGTTTTACGATTTTCTTTAATCTTTTAGAGTATTGCTTCAGATAATTTTTATTTATTAAAGAAGGGTTATGCCTATACAACCAAACAAGTTTTCTTTTCTTTTTTACACATAGTTTTATAGCACGTGATATCCACTTAGCCTTTTTGTGTAATCGAATAAATATTTGTTTTTCCGGAAAACAAAGGTCATAAAAGAGTTTGAAAATCTCAAGAAAATTATCATAGGCCATATTCGGGTCATCAGTACTATACATTTCAGTAAAAGAGTAGTTGATTAAGCAATCACGGAATTTTCCTAAATTTTCTTTACAGTAGTCTCTTCGTTTTATTTTCCAGCCGTTAATAATAGAAAATTGTTTAGTTGGAAACTTAATCAACTGTGCCGTGTGATCAGACATTGCGAATTCAATTATATCTGTAGTACATGGGGAAGTTACTGGTGGTAGGACCTGTTGTGAGTCCGCGCGGGTGGGTACCACCGCCCTGCCTAGAAGCAGTAATCCGTTTCGGTTTGAAGGGTGGGACAGCCGTTGTAATTATACTTGAGACCTTACAACTTATATCTCAAGGTGGGTGGCGCATTTACGTTGTAGATGTCCATGGGCTCCAGTAACCACTTAACACCAGGTGGGCTGTGAGCTCGTCCACCCATCTAAGCAATAAAAAAAGTAAAAATAAAAACGTCAGAAATGCCGTAATCGCCCGGGATATGCATGTGGAGTCGCTCGAGGAGTTCATCCGGAGGCTAGCTCGAAATCTTTACGAGCGGGCTGACGGTGGACCCCATGCGCATCTCCACAACATAGCTCCCTTGCACGCCAGACCACCTGATGGTCGGGCGCTACCAAGGGAGCTGCTGGAACCCCCTACTATGGTAAGATAGTCGGCTTAATCGTAGTGATATGGGAGTGCTCATAATGAGTGCCCCCATGGGACTGAGCTGTTCTCACTTGCCACTTCCCCCCACATCGTTGGGGTGCCCCCTATGGGGACCCATTTCCCACCCCCGTTGGGTGGACCACTCCCCCGTCTGGGGAGTGTTGATAAGTCGGACTCTCCCCGCGACGGTCTTCCCCTTCTGGGGAGCCCTGAGCGGGTGAGCGCCTACCTAGTGCCGCGGCCGCCCCTCTGGTTTGCAGAAGTGGGGCCGCGACATGGGGCCGGTGGCGGGCCCCACGGTTGCTGACTGTTGTCCCTGTTTGTAAATAGTAGTGTAGTTAGCTTTAGTTTAGTTGTAGTTAGTTGTAGATAATTTTAAGGGAAAAAAAAATTGAATAAGAATAGGACACAGAGGACAGCAGCCGTCGCCAGGGGGACACCGCCGCGGGCATCACTCCACGAAGACCATCAGCCAATCGTATTATATATATATGTATATACAGATGTAAATTGCAGCCGTACACGCAGCGAACAGCTCCCTCCCCTCTCAATGTCGTCCCAGCACTATATCCACCCCTGCCCTGTGTGGCAGGGAGTTTCAGCGCGGGTAGTGGGGTTTGCCCCGAGGCCCGTTCCGTGCCCCCGTCAGGGGGTACGACGACCCATCTTGCTTGCGACGATAGCGCGTCGCGGGATGGGGTACTGAAATAAATATAAAAGGGTGGCCATTTATGAGCAAGAAATAGTTTTCAGTGGATCTTTGACAGAAACAGTTACCAGCAAATCTCCGACAGAAACAGTACTCAGTGAATCTCCGACAAAGAAACATCAGCAAGACAGAAACAGTTACCTGCAGTTCTCCGATAGTACAGTTATCAGAAAACCACCAGTGAACCAGACAGTTACCTGTGAAACCTCTCTACAGACGCCGAAACCCACCGAAAGAAGCAGCCGTCTTCTACTAACGCAAAACAGACAACAATAAATATTATTACACGACTCGGAAACAGCCATAGAGACCGGGTCGTGTATTACTTATATACTTAGTATAAGGGGTTAAAGTATGAAAATGCCGATTTGTTCTGAAAAATTGAAATTCGTTGTTTTTCATTTAACATATTTATTTAAGCAAAATATCTACCATACCTAATTATCTATACGTTGCTGCCATCTAATAGGAAGGTAATTTATGCCTTTGCGATACAACTCTGCTGATCTAGATTCTACAAACTGCGTGAAAGCATTTTGTACCGCCTCCTGGGAAGAAAAGTTTTTATCCGGATGAACTCCTCGAGCGACTCCACATGCATATCCCGGGCGATTACGGCATTTCTGTCGTTTTTATTTTTACTTCTTTTATTGCTTAGATGGGTGGACGAGCTCACAGCCCACCTGGTGTTAAGTGGTTACTGGAGCCCATAGACATCTACAACGTAAATGCGTCACTCAGCTTGAGATATAAGTTCTAAGGTCTCAAGTATAATTACAACGGCTGTCCCACCCTTCAAACCGAAACGCATTACTGCTTCACGGCAGAAATAGGGAAGGTGGTACTTCTCGCTGTCAAGTAGATTTGATTGACTATCAGTCTCATCCAGACGAGAATATAAATTTGTAATGGTCTATCAGGATTAACTCATGAAGTTCGGGATATTACTAGGCTGCACTAAAAGTATCGGGAATGGAATATTTCCACTGTTCCTGTCATATTAAAATCTTTTTAATTGAAAACTCCTTGGTTTTAAAAATCGAATACCATTTATTTATTTAAAAAAAGATTCTCGGTCTTGTCACGAGGTTTTGTCAAACTTGTTTAGTCGTTGAGAAAATGGAATTGACTCGAGAAAATTCAAGAGCGATGATTTATTATGACTTTCGAAGTGGTTTAACACAAAAACAGTGTGTTGACCGGATGATTTCTGCATTTGGTGATGAAGCCCCATCCAAAACCACAATTTATCGCTGGTTTGCTGAGTTTCAACGTGGACGTGTCAAGCTCAGTGATGATCCCCGTCAAGGTCGTCCAAAAACTGCAGTCACCCAAGAAAACGTTGATGCTGTGCGTAAGCTGATTGAGGAAGATCGACATGTGACATACCGCGAAATTCAGGCAACTTTAGACATTGGCATGAGTCAAATACAAATAATCTTGCATGAACAATTAGGTGTAAAAAAGTTGTTTTCCCGATGGATACCGCATTCGCTCTGTGAAGAGCAAAAAGCGGCTCGCGTTACTTGGTGCGTCAGAACTCTCGAAAGATTCCACGCAGGATCCTCAAATGCTGTATACAACATTGTATCAGGTGACGAATCCTGGATATACGCGTACGAACCCGAAACAAAAAACCAGTCACGAGTTTGGGTGTTCGAAAATGAGTTAAAGCCAACAAAAATTGTTCGTTCACGGAGTGTTGCAAAAAAAATGGTGGCCACGTTTGTCTCCAAAACCGGCCATGTTACGACTATTCCTCTTGAGGGACAAAGAACGGTTAATGCAGAATGGTATGCTAGCATTTGTTTGCCACAGGTCGTTTCTGAACTCCGTAAAGAGAACTGCAACCGCCGCATCATCCTCCATCACGACAATGCGAGTTCTCACACCGCGCACAGAAGAAAAGAGTTTTTAGAGCAAGAAAACATAGAATTATTAGACCATCCGCCGTACAGCCCCGACCTAAGCCCTAATGATTTCTATACTTTCCCTAAAATAAAGAATAAATTGCGTGGACAGAGATTTTCATCACCTGAAGAAGCTGTGGACGCCTACAAAACGGCCATTTTGGAGACTCCAACTTCCGAATGGAATGGTTATTCAATGATTGGTTCCATCGTATGGAAAAATGTGTCAAATTTCGCGGAGAATACTTCGAAAAGCAATAAATACATTTTTAAATAGTACTGTTGTGTCATTTCGTTAATTCCCGAAATTTTCAGTGCCGCCCTCGTAAAGGCATTGAAAACGAAACGCGCAGAGGAAGTAGCATAATTGTTAATTTTAATAAAGTTGATTTTAAACAAATCTAATGTGTTATTTTTGTCTGTCATTTTATACCCATCTATTTACTTAGTTACATAACTTTGATAAATACAGGCCCAAATATAATTATTTTACACATTGCCGGTGGACCAGCAGGTACGCACGTACAACGGCTGCTACACCCTTCAAACCGAAACACATTACTGCTTTACGGCAGAAACAAGCCGGGTGTCGGTACCTACCCGAGCGGCTCATAAGACCTCCTACCATAAATAGTTACGCAACTTATAGTTTATGCAAATTTTATTCTTACTACAAGGTGTTATTCTCTTCACCATGGAATTCATTCGTGAGCATTTTCTAAGTACCTACGTACTGGTACTTGCCTACGGGATTTGAACCTGCCGGCGCCGCGGCGTGGTGGTGGAGTCCGGGCTACCAGCTAACTTTCCGGTTCCGGTTAATATTAATAAATTCCAGGGCCAAACGCAGAGTGGCAGGAAATCATCTGAAGCCTTGTTATTGGCACAATCAGCTAGACGTTGGTTGTTGGGTCAAGTTGCTGTCCAAAGTCAATTACTAGCTTAAATACCCCACAATGTGGTGTACGGATCTTCTAGGCCATTGCGACGGGGGAAAATAGGTAGAACATGTTTTCTGTCGCGATTTTAAAGTTCGACGATATTCTTTGTTTCCGATGTAGTTTGGAATCGGTATTTGTTTCGTCTAATATTATAAATGTGAAATTTTCAGAAAATATTCGAGTGTTTTTTTACTCAATTAAGCAAATACATTGCACAGATTTGGATAGAATTTCATTTTGGGCAAATTCTTTTTTTTTACGCTTTTAGGAAAAAAAAACAGAATGAAATATTTTTTGTTGACTTTTGTCTTTTACAACATCTGATTTTAATGAAATAGTTTCGTTATTTTCCTCCAGATCAGTCCCTGTCCACTTGTGAAAACTACATACAAAGCTATTCAGTAGTCCTGAAGATCTGTGGTAACAAGTAAACTGACAGACAGAAAACAGAAAAGGATTTAAGAAAGAAAAAACTACAGTTCACAGTTTCACCGAATACTAAAGTTTTATTTGATGCGATGATAGATGATGCATCCGTGTTTGACAGGATTATTGTCTACCAGAGGAGTGTTAATAAAGTGGAGTGTTAGTGTGAATGATTTTAAATGATCTGGTTGTTTGCGGGTTCGGATACAGTGTTTATTAGCAAAGATTGTGTGCGAAAATTGCTAATGGCTAAAACATTTAATTTCTTAATCTCAGTCGCATATCCTCAACGATTTACTTAACTGAAAATAGCTGTGTATTTATAGTACCAGAGCCGAGGGCGTACGGCCGTAGCTGTTACTACTAGAAACAGATTCGTTGTCGACAGGAGACAGAGCTCGCACTACTCGCGGTAACCTTGCGAGGCTGGCGTCGCGGCGGACGGGCGGCGCGGGGGGAGGCGGGGAGGGCGCGTGGGGAGGGGAGGGCGCGGCGGCGGCGGGAGGGGAGGGCGCGGCGGGGGGAGGGGGCCGGGCGTTGCGGCGACGACGCACGCGGCGCCGCCCGCTGCGAGCGCACGACGTCCTCGTTGGTACATCATCTGACATCCATTCCGATTGTGATTTGAAACGCTTTCTTATTGTGTGTAGCGGGGAGACGTCGCTCCCCGGCTCAGAGTCTCGCGAGAGCTGTACACCGCCTTGCTGACATAGCTTGGTATTAAATGGTGATGCTGCTTCGAGTCGTGATGCATTATCATTCTCCACCATAGTCCCATTTGATGAATCCATGTAAAGATGTGGTTCTATTTCAATCGAGTTGTCACAGAGCAAGGAACGAGAATTAGTTGTGGAATCCCTATGTTTGTTTGCATCGTGAGTCGACAGCTCTTGGTTTTGTTGCTCGTAAGTGGACAGAAGAAGTAGAGCCTGTCGTTTGGTCTCAACAAGAGTCTCATCCTCATTAAATTTTCCAACATTTAAAGTTTCATCAATTTTATTTTGGTTTTGTATTTGTTTTCCTTCATAATCAGTTTCATCATGTGGTCCTTGTGTTCTAGGTTGATTCTCTTCANTGTTTGCATCGTGAGTCGACAGCTCTTGGTTTTGTTGCTCGTAAGTGGACAGAAGAAGTAGAGCCTGTCGTTTGGTCTCAACAAGAGTCTCATCCTCATTAAATTTTCCAACATTTAAAGTTTCATCAATTTTATTTTGGTTTTGTATTTGTTTTCCTTCATAATCAGTTTCATCATGTGGTCCTTGTGTTCTAGGTTGATTCTCTTCACCCGGCACTCTCAATGATTTCGCAACATTTTCTTTGTTTTCTTTCATAATAACCCTGGACAAAAGAAAATACATTAATTCTTAGTAGACATTTCACTTTCAATAACCCAATAAGAATTTTATTGTCTACATATATAGACATACATTTGAAAGTAATGCTAGACTTAGATGCAGTTATGTGTTCATCGGTTTATATTGACAAGAACAAATGTATACAACTTTAAACATCTATCATAAGAATACTGACTGCAAATGAGAATCCAACCAAACCACCAAACCCCATAATAGAAGTATCCAGGTAGAAGTAATTGGACCAAAATAACCAGCTATCTAATATTTTATTATATTGATTACTAATACCCAAAAAACAAAAAAAAATTCAAGTACTAAAAACAGTCCTTCATAATAAACTAGTAAAAACAAAATAGGGCCCACATTGTTTTTGTCCCATAATTTATATGCATAGAAGTTTAATAGGTTTTTACGGTTAGTCAGCATTATATTAGGGTTTTACATACATTGTTTCATTTGATCATATTATATACAATTACCCATTTCAAGAGAAATGAGCACTAAGCACATATACACACTCTATCCAATGATTTTCAAAGCGAAGTAGTGTCCCTTTGTAATAAGGTAACACTCTACAAAATGCATACACCCAGTCATGACTTATGCAATTGTAGTGTTTGCTCATGCAGTCCGCACTAATTTCAAACCCCTTCAAGTCATGCAATCCCATTATCGCAGGATAGCCATCAGGGAACCGTGATTCATGCGGATCGTGGATCTCTATAATGATCTGGAGCTTGACTCCATCAGTATGTATCTTCAGTTGGCATCACTGTGCCACTTTGAGAAGACGGCACTACACGAAAACTCTCTTATAGTGGCCTACGGAAATTACATATCTGATCCTGCAGACGGAATGGTACACTATCGCCATTGTCTAAATACGTCCTTTCGGATCCTCCCGATCCACGGTATTTTTAGGTATCAACACAAGCACAAGCAACCTCACCGTTCTTATCGAACCCGATGTTGCAGTGGACCCTATTTTGTTTTGAGGAGTTTATGTAGCTTACTTGAAGTCTCTGTAGTTTATTTGACTTTCATACATCATTTCTACTTTCTACATGCTAGTTAATCATACAATTTAACGTAAATTAATAATAATAGTATAAAATAGCTTTGGGTGTGCATGTAAGTTTAGTAAAATGTTGAAAGGAAAGTCTTACTCGACGAGATCGTCAAGACCCAGAAGAGTGAGGGGCTCGTCGGGCGGCAATAAATGACCCCGACACAGCAATGACATACAGCATATCTGCAGTCCGAACGTGCGGCAGAGCCTCTGTTGCAGCCACCGTACCTGACGCGACTCCTCCACCCACATGTAGCATTTGGCGCGCTCATCGGTAAACACACGACGAAGGCACACACTAACTCGGAATCCGCGTTCCTGTAAGTCCATTAGCTCGTCTCCCCGTCGTTTAGGCATTTATGAGATCTCTTCTTAATGTTAATCTGTCAAAGAAATTTTGATTTAATCTACTAATCTACTAGTTTTTAATCAATCAGGAATGTGCTTTAATCTCGGCAACATCACACGAACAATTTTATGAATCTTAATTTGCAGTCTCGAAATCTTTTTCGAACCGAATGTCTTCTTGTTTCGTGATGTAGGTTCCCGTTATTTTATTTCTATTTCATTTATTTTACATCTGTGACACATACATTAACAACTTAATATTTATTGCAATATATTAACAATATTAAATTAAATTAAATAGATGATTTATTTGAGAATTTGAGACGAGACCCCAACTTTAATGTTGGTAGTACCGTAGTACCTAGTTCTATTTTTCTGACTGGAAAGGTTAAGGCAAAGGTATCGCACCATACAGCGTAATCTTTTATCATTAATTTTTTTATTATGAAAAATGCAGAGAGTTAATTGTAGGTACTTATTAACTCCATAGAAAAATTATAATATGAAATGGAATGAAGTTGATTAATTTGGAACATTAATCAATTGTATGAAATTAAATGAAGTGAGATGAGATGATATGAGATAAAATATAATCTTAGTAAAATTGTGGTTATTTAATGAGCCTTTTTACTGGACTTTTCAGAGGATCCCAAGCAGGTACATCCAGCGGCTTTGTTTCATTTTCCCACATTTGTGCACTTTCACAGATACTAAACATTTAATAAGCCACCGTTGTTACACGTTTAAACCTGAAGGAATTGGTCTTAATATTCAGGTCATACAATCCCTTGTAAAAAAGTAATTCTTCCTAACAAAAACAAAATCAGAAACACAATATGAGATGTGTAGGTATTAAATATCTATGTGTCTAGGGACACAAAATTAAGGAGACCTGTTAATACCCCCGTGCACAAAACAAAACTCTGATGTGGAAGTTCCTAGATAAGGAATGTACTTTTGAGTTTGTTGGATTCGCCTCTGAACAAATAAAATACCCACACGACCAAATGGTTTGTTAGAAAAGTCATATTAAAATTTATTTTGCTAAAAGTTAAATGTAACATACTCTGGCAATAATTAGACTACCGTACTTTATGACTTAATCACGAACACTAACGATTACTTCTAACGTCTAAGAGAAGACTAAGTCATCCATGAGAACTACAACTGTAAATTACCTGTACGTAGCGCCGGAAATAATAAAACTACAATAAATAAAAAATTGTGAAAAGACGTTGAGTTTCAAATGTGTCTACCACACGTGAAGTCGAAGAAAATCTATACTAATATTATAAAGAGGAAAGATTTGTTTGTTTGTTTGTTTCGAATAGGCTCCGAAACTACTGGACCGATTTGAAAAATTCTTTTTCCATTAGAAGCCGACATTGTCCCTGATGAACATAGGCTACTTTTTTATTTTATTTTTTATTTATTTTTTTGGTTTCATGTGTGTTTTAATGTTTCCGAAGCGAAGCGAGGGCGGGTCGCTAGTATTAGATAATAGAAAATAAACATGATTAAGGAATATAATTATAAAGGAAGTGAGCGAATGAAAAATATTAATTGAAGTGAGATATAGCACCCTTAAGTGTCCATTGAGATGAATTGAAATCACCTTTCAGAATTTACTGAGCTCAATGGAGTTTTTGGAAGTTGCCGCGAGTCTACGTTTAGCGATTTTGTTTCATTTCACGCATTTCTACTTGTACTTCAACTGATATTAAATCATTAGTAAGCCACCATTAGGAAAGTTAAGGACCATTACATCTGAATGAACGATAAATTAACAAAATAAATCAATTCACATATTTTGCCCTCTCACTAAAAAGTCGATGAAACAATTAATTGTTGCCAGTTTCGATTTATAAAATGTTCATGTAGATAATTAGTACAAATCAGCGATTTTTAATTTATTTCCCAATTTTGCGAACTTGCAAATTAGATAAATAAATAAATAAAAATATTCCCCAAAGATATAGTAACAAAAAGTAAGATCGGTCAAGATTATTGAACATAGGTAGCTTAGTATTTATAGCACCTTTCACTTATGTCATAATATCTCTATAGTATGTGGTAGTAAGGAACAGTAAGATAAATTAGCATCACATCTGTGATTTAATATATGGAATTTTATACGTAAATATTTAGTTTTAATTAAGAACACAGTGTGACGACCCATTAAAAATTTTAGCGCATTGTGGAATTAATGTTATAGGAATAGTTAAAGCTACCTTTGCCTAATTGGGCAGGCTAATAAAAAAAATGCAGTTTTATGTTTTGAATTTTGAAAATTTTGATAGATCAACTCGAAATCAAATTTGATAAGTAGTGAACATTTTTCTGAATAATAAAAATTGCATGCTCTGTTGTAGAAAGAGATTAATATTTCGAAATTCCTTCTCAAAACAAATAGAAAAATTCTAAAAACTTAGTGACATTTCGTTTTAGTGTAAAAGGTGATAATAACGCAAGCAAATGCTATGAGCGCCTGACATAAAGAAGGAGAAGCAGAAGCATGTCGAACGTGGAAAACGTATGTCCTCAAGCGTTGCGTGGCGTGGCACGCGAACTCCGACAGCTGGCGGCTAATCCTCCGCCGGGCATCAAACTGCAGCTGCGAGACGACGACATATCTGACATAGTCGCGCTTATCGATGGTCCCGGTAAGAATCTATTCAAATATGATACTGCCCTCACCTCCAGAACCGGTGTGACATTTCGTTAAACAAAAGGCATATCTACTTTCTCATGTCATGTAATAAATCAGAGGTGGAAAGGTAAATGGTCCAATGGCAATGTCTGGATTTGTTACATTGAAGTACATCTCAATATTCAACGTCACAGTTACAATTTATACAGATTTTTTGCTATCTGCTTGATATTTATTTTGTTTTGAATGTCATTACTTATATCTTGCAATGTCTCAATTTTGTATGGAAAATTTGGACATGATTTTTTTTTCAATCTGCATCTCCCGTCTTTTAGATATTCAATAATTATGGAGTCCTTTGAAGTCATGGTCTTTCTAAAGATATATTAACAGCTGCAGATATTACATTGTCAGAACTTTGTTTAACTTATAATTTAGACCTCTGAAGAGATGAGGAATAGGAGAATCTGACACTATCTAAAAGTCATAATTTTAAGAAATGTATGATGTGTTCTTTTTGCATATGGGACTTTCTTTAAAACTAAACAATAAATAAATACCTTCATAATGAACACCACACAATATAAGCCACAGATAGGTGAACCAATTCTCAATATATACCACTGCCAGTTATGTTCAAAGTTTTCAAAAAGCTGTTGTCATGTTACATCTTACCTTTATTGGAGAAAAACAAAATCATCCCAAAGAAGTTTAGTTTTAGGACGACATATTTAGTAGTTGTGCAGTTATAGAATGATAGAGAAAATGAGAAAGTCAGGTGTTTTTAGGCCTCTCAAGCACCAGTCCTCCTCGGTTGATTACGACTAACCCATACACAGCCCACTGAGTATCTTGCTGGATCTTCTCAGTAGGTCGCAATTCTGATCTGGTGGTAAATGTTTCAAAGCACTGTTCTTGCTAGGTCTAGTGCTAGCAAATTCTCTCAGGTTGAGCCTGTGAGCTCGCCTATCTGTTCACGAGAAGCTGGAATATCTCCACAGGATACTAGCCAATAAGTAGGGAAAAATTATACATATACACATTTTTTTATGTGTATGATTTTTATGCTTTTTTTTTTCTAATTGAATTAATGTGTCAAAATATTTTTGAGCATTTTTGTATATAGTTGTTATATCTAAAGCTGTAAGCTGTAAGCTGTGTTAAGTAAAATGAGATTTTAGTATGGCCAGAGGTTTAATATTTTTTTTATTGCTTTGATGCATGGACGAGCTCACAGCCCACCTGGTGTTAAGTAGTTACTGGAGCCCATAGACATTTACAATGTAAATGCGCCACCCACCTTGAGATATAAGTTGTAAGGTCTCAGTATAGTTACAATGGCTGCCCCACCCTTCAAGTCAAAACGCATTACTGCTTCACGGCAGAAACAGGCGCGGTGGTGGTATCTACCCGTGCGAACTCACATAAGGTCCTACCACCAGTAAAAACCAGATTCAAGGGTATCAACTAAATTAATGCAAAAGTTGATGATTTCAGCGGAGACGCCGTATGAAGGGGGCGTGTTCCGCGTGCGACTCGTGCTCGGACGCGAGTTCCCCGCCAGCGCACCGCGGGCATACTTCGTCACCCGCGTCTTCCACCCCAACGTCGCCGCCGAGACCGGTGAGGTCTGCGTCAACACGCTCGCACGCGACTGGCGCCCCGAGCTTGGGCTCCGGCACGCGCTCCTCGCTCTGCGCTGTCTGCTCATCGCGCCCAACCCTGACTCGGCACTCAACGCGGAGGCCGCCGCCCTACTGCGCGACCGCTACGACGACTACTTCGCGCGCGCCAAGCTGCTCACCGACATCCACGCGACCCGCAGCCGCGCCNCCGCCGCCGCGCCCGCGCACGCGCCCGCGCCGCCCGCCAAGCGCCGCCCCGCGCCTGCCCCCCGCGCAGACAAGCGCCGCATCCTGAAGCGGTTATGAGCCGTCCCGAGATCAAACGATCAGACCACGCAAATGGACTCGTCCAACACGAGCGAACTTTAAGATATTTGCAAAATTGAACTTTAAGTAGTAGGTGAACTTTTTAATAATTTAATGTGTATCTGCAAAAACTGAAATCCTTGCGTTGAGTGTGCGCTGGACAGTCTGCTGCCCTTCCTCCATCTCCTTCCCGAAGCTCTTCCCTCGCGAACGTCGAGTCACTAAATAAAATGTTACCCCAAGTTAATTGAGTTAGAATCCTCCGTGCGGCTGGAGCTGAGCTGCGAGTGGCGCGGCTGGACAGAGCGCTCTGCTGCACGTGACGCTCGGAATATAAATTCACAATATCGCTATTAAAATACGTTTCCATAGATTTAATTCCTAGATTTGTAATATTGTATTGAATTAAAATAGAATAATATATTAATAACTGTGCGTACAAAAATGCGTGTTTTAATTCATAATTATTCAAACAGTAAAAACACCAAATTTTATGCTGTTCGGATATTGAGTACCGAGTACACCGTAATCGTCCGGTGTAGTGGTGTGACGTCACATGTGGGCACGCGTGGGGACGCTGACGAGGTCAGGGCCTCCCCGCAGCTCGATTGGAGGCGATGAGTTGTTCTGATTTGTGCCCTTTTTAAGTTAAGATGAAATTGTTAATGGAATGAGACTTGTTGCAAGGCATTTTATTAAACGGCCTATTTTTTTAAACAAACCTTATACGGGTGATCTAACAATGTGTGTTTCGCTTCCAAGTAAAATCCAGCTTTTAGTTAGACACGTGTATCAACAGTTATCCGAATTAAAATTGTGAAACCTTTACAGCACGAGGTATCGTTTCACTCACTAATATATTAATTATTTATTTATTATTTAAGTTATTTTTTTCCTACCTATGCTGATAGCCTTGAGAGGCTATTTCAGCTTCGCCCTAACATGTGGGTGAGCTCACGGTGAGGCCCGAGGCCGAACCTCCTACGAGGTCCCCGCGCCTAGGGTGCGCGCGGGGCATGTGGGACTTGTCCGCAGACTGCGGGTCCAAGAATGTTTTCAGGGCCTTACCTACCCACTAAACGACTCTCCTGCACTCTTCGCCCAAGCCTCCGATCCCCTCCGAGGTCAGAACCCGGATGAGGTAGGGGGGTTACTGCGGTCAACACTGCAAACAGACAGCGCAGCTCACCCCAAGGACGCCCAGCCGACGGAGTCTTCGAGGCGAATCGAAGGCTCCGAAACATAGGCCGTCTCGGTACGGCAGTCCGTCAGACCGCCCAGACGATGCCGCTGGTGTCCCGGAATACCCCGCTAGACCAGAACCAGCCTGCCGGGTTGGGCCGCGATACACCGCCAATCCGGTTTGCTCTATTATAGATACTCCTTGGCGGCACGCTAGAGTGCTGGTAGCGCGCCTTTGCCCCCTCAGGTTGCCCCTTGACCTTCACCGGGGGGAAGCCGCCAACTATAGGGGCCAGGACGTACGGGCGTAATCCCTCCTCCAGCCTCCGGCTCGACGGCGACGGATCGGTGCGAAAAAGGAAAAGCTCTCTTTCTCTCGTTCCGCCGCCTCCTGACCGCGACGAGGGCGGCGCGCTGCTCGTCGAATCCAGAGCAACGCGCCAATGTGTGTTCCGCAGTGCCATCCTCGTCGCGGTCTACTTTTTTCTTATTTTTTTTATTGCTTAGATGGGTGGGTGAACTCACAGCTGACCTGGTATTAAGTGGTTACTGGAGCCCATAGACATCTACGACGTAAATACACCACCCACCTGCGCAATGGTGGCACTGCGCCGTCGGTTCCCTTCCGGTTGTTTTATGCAAGTACCGGCTGAAGCAACCGTGGCCGGTAAGCATCTGCGTAAGGGCCTGGCCACAGCTACTGGCGGTGCGTTTTGCGGTACGTTACGAGGTGCGGCGTGTGGCGCGATTTGTGGTGGTATGCCACAGCTAGACTAGTTGCGACGGCGGCGGCGTCAGAGGTGCGCGTATTTAGAGAGCCTTATCAAATGTCCCTATCAAAAGTGGCACGATATTACCTTGAAATAAGTGCGTTCTTAGCTGAAGATATTATTTAATCAAGAATAGGAGCGCACTCAGAAAAGGAGAGAACTTGGCGAATTTCACACTATTTATTAGGAATATAAGAACTATCCCGATAAATAGATTATTAATAGAAAATAGATTCAACCTTCACAGTGATTACCAGGTTCAAATCTCAATTTACCATTCGTGTTAATTGGCGACGAAACCTATCTTAAAAATTATTTAATGCGCCCATATCCACCGGGTGGTTTAAATGCGGAATAAATAATTTTCGACAAAGGATTATCCCGGGCAAGAGCCACAATTCAGTACGCGTTTGGTATTTTAACTAATAAATTTCGTATTTTTATAAAAAGTGGAAAGGCAAACAAAAAGCACGCGACATTGAATATAAACGTTTCGTGCCTGTTACACAATATTATAAGAGAAAGAGATGGAGACAGAGATGCAGGTTTTCAGCAGTTTGTTTCCCAGTTTGGAGACTCCAATATTCTCAATAGCGTACGCAGATCAAGACGGAATAATCGAGCAACGGTTCAAGCATCTAGAATACGAAATCAATTCAAAGGACAATGCCGATTTTCTTTGAGCGTTTGGGCCCCTAAAAAAAGTTGTCGTATCATGATGGTTTTAACTTAATTTGATAGACAAAGAAATATCGTTTCATATTCAGAAAACGATTTTTATATTCTCATCCAGGTTTAAGAGAAATCTATTTTTTTCTGCAGCTAAAATTAAGATGTTAATTTCTTCGAAATCAATAATCGCTCTCATAATTAGTTACAGAGTTAAATAAGTTCATTGTGGTTAATGTTGCTACAAATAAGCCCTTATGTACATTTTGTTATTATTATATCCTCATAATAATAATAATAATGAAGGTGGTTTCTGAAAATGGACCTCATTGACCCTTCTTTCGGAAATGAAAATCTGGAAGCCGGCAACGATATTGTTGTTGTTGTTTTTAAATTCACCAATAGGCAGGCAAAGAGCGTAGCCTATACAGCCTAGTCTGTCGTAGTTATATTATTTTCATGTTAATAAAAAGCCAGTGTATCCGCGTGAGTTACCGCATACCTTACATCTTGAAAAAAAAAAAACTGCCTGCTATGTTAGCCACAGTTTTATTCCAATGCCTCAATAATCGTGAACAACGATGATTGACGTTTAATACACAAAACAACACCCAATTTAATATTATACATCACAATAAACTATTAAAAAAACAATAAAATAAAACTTCAAGTGACACTTCACTCGGGTTGCTGGCAAAACTCTCTGACCATAGATAATAAGAATAAGTAATGGTGGGCAATTGCGATTTTTACTAATGGAATCATTAATGTCTAAAAATATTTAATTTTTAATTTATTAAAATTATCAAAATTAAAAATAATTCATGGTTTTAAGTAATAATTATTATTACAATATATAAATATTGAATTGAACAAAAATAAACTAAAAAAGTTAATGAGCTATAACCATTAGCTATTTTTTTTATTTTGTTGTTCAAGTCACAGAAATCTCTTTCGTTTGGCAGCATTTAGGTTTACTATAAGGCTCTATAGGCTAAGCCCTTTGTCTTCCTGTTGGCGAATTTAAAATATTTGAATGATGGAAATACTCAGTTTTCGGATGGTATCAAATTGGTTTTTTTTTTTTTTGTAACACAATTCCAGGGTGAAAGAAATGTTGATACTTAAACTAAACAACGTGAAAAAATAAGGCATAGTTTTTCAAGTACAAATAGTTTTAACACAAAGTTGGCCCACTTTTGGGCATTGTCCTTTCAAATTTTATTTCAATAATCCTATCCAGGAGTATCTATGAAACCACTACTACCAGAAAATTGTTGTTTTATTTCGTCCCACATTTTTTTATAACATATTTATGGTGTGGATGTTTTGACATCCATATTTCTGGTCTACTCAGTATTTCACTAATGAATTGTTCCACATCCATTATATTTTATTAGATAAACGCGCGGTAAAAACAAAATGTTTTGTTTAGATCGCGCGATGCCTCAATGCGTCCACTGACACCGCCGCGCGCGCCGTTCTGGGCTGTCCGCCGCCTCGATATTGGCTAGTAAATTTGTTTCGCTCGCACATCGCGCAGCTCGTCGCCGCCAAATGTCACGCGCCTCTTGCCGCGCCGCCGGTAGCTGTGGTATACTTCATAGTTTGTCTACCATTTGTTTCCGCCGCTCACCGCTTGCCGCGCCTCACGATGCGCCGCAATTCGCACCGCTCTTGGTTGTGGCCAGGGGGTAAGCCGGAAGGTGAGACGTCCGCGGTCGCGGCCCACACAGTCCGCGAGAACCGGGCAGACCGCCTCGACGGTACCGAGGCCGGCCGACGGGTCCGCCAAACGACGGGACCACGCCTCCAGCACGGACCGCCGAGATTGAAGCCTCCGCGCTCTAACTGCACCTTCGCCGGGGCACCCTTCCCCCTAGAGCGAAGGTCGCTTTGCCACCTGTAATCGGCAGTGAGCGCCTCCGCCTCCAGGGCTTCAGCAGACCAGAAACAAAAAGATTACTTTACAACTCTTACGTTCGTACCTATAGTACTATATTTTCACTTGGAATCCCTTTTATGACGTGTACAAAAAGAAGTTAAAAGGGGCCCAGAAGCGCTTTTTATAGCATCTTGCTATCTCCTGCAATGTTGCTAGTACCATTCAGAGCTACCCGGGGAGGTTGAATTATTTCTACATGAACTCTCTTTCGAAGCGGAGACGCACGCTCGATCTATTGTTCCTGTACAAACTTACTAATGGAGAATTCGTTGTCTTTGAACTCTTATCTCTTTTGAACTTTAATGTGCCATTGACGTCGACAAGGGCTTCGAAGTTGAGGGTGTTCAGGGGTCCTAGATACTACACCAACCTCGGTAAGAACGCACCTCTCAACAGACGACTTCGACGAGGACGGTAACTGTGGTTGAAGAGCCTCAAAGCACCGTCGGTCTTTCGCCCGCTCGGTGGAAGATCTTCCCACTGTCGTAACTCCCAGAAAAAATTATCTCGTCGTTCGTGTCCAAAAATATAATATCTTGCGTGTTTTGTAGACAGGCTAGCATATAGTAAACTGGTGGTGGTTGACACAACCCGCTGGTTTCTCGCCGCGTCTTCTATAATAAGTGGGCCGTGATTCCGATCCAATGGTAAATTCAGCCACTGATCTTGGTAGAGCTGGTTTTAGCAAATTTTTCTAAGTTGAGCCTGTGGGCTAGGCGTGAGCTAGTAAATAGCCCCTTGGGCTAACAGCTTTTTCCCTACCTATTGTAGGGAAAAAGCAGTAAACGTAGTGCACGCTTTGGTGTTATACCAAGTCAAACAAATAATGTAGTACTTTAGCTACACAGTCATTTGTAACCAAATTATCCGCACTAGACACAGTGGATAACACTGTGTGCATAGTGTGGATGGACTGGATAACACAGTTCTAACCCTGTGTTATCTACTGATTTGAAATAAAACACGTAGCATTGTTATTATTTCTATGGATGGGACCAGCCCAACGATGACGGTTTGCATTGAAAAAATGTAGTCTAGTTACAAGAAAAACAAATGAATAATACATATAGGTACATCTACTAATAGGTATTTATTAAATCATTATTAAGTCAAGGTATAGTTCTAATTATGTACAAACAGTATAGAGAGCTGTGAACAGAGTATGGTGTGCGTCATGGCTTATCTTCGAGCGGCACTTCTTCAGCGCAGGACGGTGCGGCGCGGCTCGGCGCGGCCCGCGGGCTCAGCAGCGCGCGGTGCAGCACCGCCGCCAGCCCCGCGCCGCCCAGCGGACCCACCCAGTACACCTGCCACACGGACACGCGCCTCCACTGTACTCACTCTACTGCATTGCATTCATTGCACTCGTCCGATAAATGTCAACAGTTATATTTTTATTACAAAATTGTAAAGTAATTCGGTGCGAACCGATGCCATAATGACCAAATATTTCAAGAAAATCACGAGATTTTTATGGAAAAAAATTCAATTTCAAAAGATTACCCAATGATATTGCCAAATTCCGTGATATAAAGCCGGTGCGAAGCTACGAGCAGGGTTCAGGCTAGCTCCCGTCGCGTGTCCCTGGGAACGAAACGATACGTATCAGCGACGACAATCGACACCGGTGTAGTTGCCCCAGCGGTTCTGAGGTACGATGACACTCACCCCGGCGAAAACCAGCCCGGCCACCACGAGTCCCAGCTTCACGGGCACCATCGGGTCCGGACCGCTCTCGTCGTGCGCCTTCCAAACGCCGCAACACGCAAACGCGAGCACCGCCGTGAGGGCCGCCTCCACGGCCGCCGCCGCCAGCGCCGACACATCCCTCGCCGGCAGCGTGCAGCCCTCGTCCGTGCCCAGAGCGCTGGCGGGCGTCACGGCGGCCAGTGCACCGAAGCCGGCACACGCGCCCAGCACCTGCGCCACCGTGTAGGCGGCGGCCAGCGCCGGGGACATGCGGCCCTGCAGCGCGGCAGCCAGCGTCACGGCCGGGTTCATGTGCGCACCCGACGTCGGCCCGAACGCCATCGCATTGCCGAGCACCACAAACCCGAAAGCAAAAGCGGGATGTGACAGCACGACGGCCTCCTTCCCTTTGTACGGCACCACGGAGCTGACGCCGAGCCACACGAGGAACGCCGTGGCCAGCAGCTCGGAGACCAGCGCTCGCCACCATCGCCGCACCCAGCCGGACAAACCGCGCGGCGTATCTTCTGAAATTTGAAATTCACTTAGAAAAAGGGCTCCTGGACGATTCAGTCACTAGAATCGGGAACCTAATCGAGTCAAACAGGNCTCCTTCCCTTTGTACGGCACCACGGAGCTGACGCCGAGCCACACGAGGAACGCCGTGGCCAGCAGCTCGGAGACCAGCGCTCGCCACCATCGCCGCACCCAGCCGGACAAACCGCGCGGCGTATCTTCTGAAATTTGAAATTCACTTAGAAAAAGGGCTCCTGGACGATTCAGTCACTAGAATCGGGAACCTAATCGAGTCAAACAGGAAGTTTGATATCGGTATTGTTTCGGTAAGCGCGACGTATTTATTAACAGGCATCGCATCAATTAGCATAGAGATGAGCGAATGCGCGCGAGTGGTCGAACTCGATCCACGCTTAAAGCTGAATATTAATAAGGTGCGGATTAGAAACGTATCTACTAAAGACTTACCGGTTTTATCACAGTTACAATCTAATATATTACTTTTAACACAGTAAGATAGAAGATTGTAGCACGTCCACAATTGTCATTTTTCAACTTGTGCGCGTAGAAGTATTTACCTATAGAAATGTGATTCTTAAAGAATCAGTCGTCGATACGAGTGTCACACGGGGACCTCTTATCACGGACGGCTTAACGAACTAACGAACGCTTCGACACGCCCGCCAACTGGTAGTGGCTATCAATATATACATATATAGTATATACATACAATATATACATATGTAAGTACGGGTACATGATACGTACACAATAAATATCTGAAAATATGCGTCTGTAGCTGCGACGTAGCTGACTGTAAACTATATCTTTATAAACTATTTATTTAGTTTATCCAATCTTGTTTAGCTTCCTGTTTACTGTTTTTATCTGAAGTACTGTTTCGACGTTACTTACTTAATTTTTATTTTTTTTATTTTTACCTTAAACTTTAAGTCCGTATCGCAATGATCTTTTGAGAACATCACCAGTGAAATCGCAGCCGCTTCAAGATAGAATTGCTATGTGATAGAGAAGAATAATGTAATTTTTCGTATTTATTACAATTAATTAATGTTTTTGGGTCAGCACGCAATAGAAAGAGAACTATTCGATTGAAGAAGTGTTTTAACGCGATCCACCGTTAATTTTATAGTTAAATCGTACGTTATTAGATTAGTGCGTAGTTCAATCGTGCAATAAAGGAATATGTCTGTAGATTTACATAGTTCCGCTGTACTTCATTACCGAATCGTGAATATTAAATAGGCACCTGGACGCGGGTCGTATTCGCAAGGATTAAGTTTAGTATAGGTTTGTACTTTTATTGATTTTTATCAGATATTAGTATGATCGGGTCGAGCCGCATGTAGTCGTGACATCAGTTTTATGCGGTTCACGCTGATCGGTGTTTGTACCAAAATCTAATAATTATATACATACATAAATCTTCTACGCGACCTATGTGGCTGTTAACACAGTATTCTTTAAGTGGAACATAAGTGGAAGCCGTCGGGGAAAATGATACAATTTTAACACATAGCTAGGTTCGTGGTGGTGGGATGTGAACGTAAGGGTGTACTAACCGTCTGTGGAGGGCATGTGGAGCGCGCGCGTGCGTGTCGGTGCGGCCGCAGCGAGTGTCGTCGCAGGACTGCGCCCCGAGAGCCCCGACAGCCCGGAGGCGGCGCGAGGGTCCGTCGGGGACGGCGCGGTGCCTCACGGGGCTCTTGGCCACGTGCGCTTGAGGCTCAGCATCCACTAACTACTTCCTCCGAAATGCGCTTACAGATTTAGTATGTAATGTTAGATCCGCTCTACTGTTATATAATAATATAATTTACAAGAAACTTGTAAATTATATTTATTATATGTAAATTATATTATATATTACATATTTCATAATATAATTTACAAGTTTCTTGTAAATTATCTTACAATAGCTGACGGAGTAGGTTCGACGTGCACCTAAGCCCGCAGACACAGCCCGTTGCATGCATTTCTCGGCGGATCTTCTGAACGAGTTGCTATTGCAATTCCGTAGTAGATTCAGTGAAGCTATACTTTGCTCGGGCAAATGTTAGCAAAGTTCTTTCAAGCTGCGCCCAGTGGACTCGCCTGCTAGTTAGTTGAAGCCGGAATAGCCCTTCCGACTATTATCTACTAATTAGGTAGAAATAACAATAATACATATGAGTGGAAGGCAAGGTAGTACGTACAATTAACTTATTAAAAACATGTAAACATTTTGAAATAGCACAAACTAACATACGTACTCATGGCTGCGTGGGTTACACGTAAGCTATAAAAAAAAACTTCGCCTTCATGGTCACATTTCGTTGAGGATGTATATATATATATATATATATTTGAATACACGATATTTGTCCATATCCAGTGATTGCGCGTTACGTAACGGCTCGGTGAGATAAGGAGTACAGATGCCGCGCGCCGGTATCGGTGTAGATAAGCTATTGTCGTGAACCGGCGACCCGAACTCGCGTCTCCTCTTCTTGATAAACAATCAGATTTCACTGATGACCATTGTTTTTTATTTCTATTGCGCAGATGCGTGAATGATCTCGCGGCCCTCTTTGTGTAAAGTACTAAGTTAATGCTGTGATTAATTAAATGTAAGTAACTTTTCGGTCGTGTGTCAGAGTGAATCCTTCAGCTGCCATTCCACCCACAGGAGCCGCACACCGCCCAGGCATCGGTTGATCGGTACATGGTTAGTAAAACTACAGATATTCGAGCTATACTTATTATTTCGAGCTAGTACTATTACTTATATTTATTCATAGTGCATTACACATAAATAAAAAACTTTTTGTAAAAGTATGTATATTATAATAATGAATTAACGTGTAAAGGTTTCAGGGAGCGCCTGACTACTGCCCAGTATCCCTCGCTCGGGTCGCGCGCTGCGACTGATCGACTAATGGTACTGCATCAATACCATATCGATACGTACATAATAACAGTATCTACCTATGACTTGTTCATGATGAAAATATAGTGATTTAAAAAACCAGCCGAAAATGTATATCCACACCAGTAGCGAGGTGGAGTGTAACCACCATTCCTACTTTTGTTGCATGCCAATCGTTTCCAAGTGGGGAACTTCAGCCTTTATCCCCGTGTACTAACGGGGTGGGTGGCGGCAGTCACGTGGTCATGTTTTTAGGCTCCGGTAACCGCCTACTACCAGATGGACTGTTCGTATACTTAACAACAGTGTCACTGAAAACCTTCTAGTTAATAATATACCTACCTACATTATGTTAGATGTGACCGCAACATACAATCTGGTTTAGCCGGTTTCCCATTAATCGACCTTCACGAAACGAACGGAAGCGTGTCCAAATATCATTTAAAAATGATTAGGTGGCTATGCGCAGATATGTACGTATGTATACAGGATCAGCCTGAAGCAACAATTTTGTATTTCTCAGCCGACTGTCGAAGGAGCAGTAAAGTTTCTTGAACGTATGTAAGAACACATGCACACGTATGATGTTATATATACGGTACTAAACACACATGTACACATTCGCATCATAATCTAAACAAGCACGTTGACCGATTGAGACGAAGTGTTGCTCAGTAGGCCTCTAGAACTCGGAAGGCAGGCAGCGCGTGCCGAGTCGGGGAGGGTAGTGCCGGATAACGCGCTCGAAGCGCTTGTGAAGCTGGATGAAGGGAGATGCGAGATGCGTTGGGCTCCTTAAGTAAGCTATAAAGAAGAGACGAAAGGTATCTTAACGTTCTTGAATCAGCAGTCGCCCCAATTCAGTCCGGATTTAGATACGTGCTCATATTCTTCGTGGCCTAAAGAATAAGACGTCGGGCGCATTCGTATCTAGCGATGCACCGGTGCTCGAATCCCGCAGGCGGGTACCAATTTTCTAAGTAAATACGTACTTAACAAATGTTTACGATCGACTTCCACGGTGAGGGAATAACATCGTGTAATAAAAATGAAACCCGCAAAATTATAATTTGCGTAATTACTGTTGGTAGGACGTCTTGTGAGTCCGCACGGGCAGGCGCCACCACTCTGCCTATTTTTGTCGTGAAGCATTAATGCTTTCTGGTTTGAGGG